TATTTTAAAGAAAATTCAGATTGAACATAGTAAAAAACTGTAAATTATAGTGTCCGTCCAAAAATTCTTTTTTACTTATAGTGAAAACTACCCTTGGATGATGGTAAGGTAGACTAAAAGCTTTAGGAATCCAAAGTACAACATATAATAAGTACCCTGTATCAAGATTGATTGAAAAACAAGTGACATTTGACCTTTTTAGAGAGGTTTAGCAAAACAAACTCCACCTCTGAGGTGATTTGGGTGGAAATGGGGGTTTTACCGTTTCTCTGGAACCCATTGGTCGATTTTGGTGATTGACATCTCTTTCTGACCGTTAGAGCAAATAGAATCGAAGGGGAATTTCCCCACACACACACATGGTAAAAAAAAAAGGTGTGGGCTTTGCGCATGCAGGTTTGCATCAGAGTGAACCTATCTCTCGCTCTGACATCTGGAAACGGAAAAGCAGGTTTATTGCTTATGGATTATCAGAAATCATTTCAAAGGGACACAGACACATTGGATTAACCTATGGATTAACTTCAGCAGCGTTTTTATCGTTTTAATGCCATTGAAGACCACTTTTGACCAGACAACGACACAGGTAAGCCATGTTAGCATTTTTAGCTACCTAGCACCACATGTTTTGATGTCTGTTTTTGTTTATAAAGTCACGAGTTCTTATCATAGAGTTAGATGAGTTTCTTCCCGTTACATGGATATAAAACATTCATAGTTTATTAAATATTAAGATGCCCTCAGACACTATTTCCTGCAAGATGTTGCGGGAGGGCCCCGGTACCGGGATCTCTCGGGCTTAACAGGTTAAAGGATGTTCCCTGAAAGATTGTAAAATGTCAATGAAGATGTCAGACTTAGTATATTTGTTAATAATTACATACAATACATGGAATTTGTGTGTGTCTGTGTTCCAAGTGAATCTGCAGCCCCCTGGTGGCCCCCACCGCCATCCAAGTTGCCCATCCCTGCTGTATGCAGAAGTATTATTTTAAGCAACACATTAACTTGACGAAACACTCAACTCAAATGTAATTAAAGTCAGATCTTAGATGGGGCAGTGATATCATAAAACTGTTGTACGCATTCAAACACTCGGTAGTTTATTTATTTTTTAACCAGCTGTTCTATATTCACCTTGCAGGCGCAACTATGTGGCTTGTATCCTGGATTATATGTTTAAATCATGGATGTTTAAAGTTTAACGTCTTCATATTTGTCTAATATTAGTTTACTTTTCATTAATGAAGTATGACGCTGCGCTGTCAGTACGCTTGTCCCTGTTTGTGATTGGTCAAATGTTGCTAACCCCGCCCCTTTCACGTGAACGCGCTCTGAGCTGGACAAAGAAACCCTGGGTTGATTTAACGAGTTGATAACCAGCGTCGTAGGACCGCTTAGCGAGATCTCGTTTGTTAGGGTCAGTTAAGATAACTCAAACATATCCAGGGTATGTTGAACTGGCTTCGTATAGGGCACAGGTGGCTGCATAGCAGCGCTAATTGCAAAGACAAAAACATTATACATTACATTACATTACATTACATTGCATTTAGCTGATGCTTTTATCCAAAGCGACATTATATTTTTATTTTACCAGGATGCAGTGACACAAATATTTGGGAAGGCTTAGCCTTCCCTAGCCTACAGTACCTGCCGCTCCTGAGTGTCACAGAAATGCTCAAGCGGTTGAACTGGGTGGAATTGAGTGAAAGGCGGCGATTGGCTCGTTTGGTTCTGTTCTTCAAGATTGGCCATAACATCTCAGCCATTGATGCATCAATGTACCTAGAGCCAGTTAGAAGTGCAACCCGCAAAGCCAACTCTTTGAACTTCAAGCGAATTTTCGCTACTAGTGATACTCTTAAATACTCGTTCTTTCCGAGAACAATCAGAGAGTGGAACTTGCTACCAGAAGAAGCTGTCATCGGAGAGTCCGTGGAGTGCTTCCGGCAAAACTTTCATGGGAGCCTGCCTACAGGCCTCCACTCTCAGGACAGTTCCGGTGTAGGCTCCACCCTCAGGACACCTCCACTCTCAGTACAGGAAGTGACGATTCTGACGAACACGTTTTTTTCCCGCCCCCCGAAGGACTCGTCTGACTGAAGTTTTCAAATCACAATGGAGACTCATCACAGAGGTGATGAGTCCGCTCACCATGCACTTTGGGTCGGCCTTGGTCAAGCCCTTTTGACCCCCCCAGCCTGGTTCTCGTAAAAGTTGACTTAGCCATTTTTCGCTCAAATGACACCATGGAGGAATGTAACGGGAGTTGACAGGGGACTCTGCCCGCCTCACGAGTGCCTATTTTTGGACCCTTTTTGAACTTTTCCCCCTATTTTCCCCGGTTCTATACATTTTTCTTTTTTTGGCTATTTCCCCCGATCCTTCTACTGGGGACACTGCCCGGTCTCGGGTGTCCCCCCACGGCCTGTGTCCAGCCGTTTCCCACCCCCACTCATCCATATATTAACGGATTTTGACCATTTTTGTTGCATTTTTCTCCTCTCCTCTCACTGATCGAATGGCAAACGCGACACACCATTGGAGGGCCTCCATTTTCTGCATTCATGTGTTTATCAAAGCTAGTAAAGGTGCAGCTAGTTTGAATGACTTTGTATACTGCAGGGTAGCTTGTGATTTTACTCCAGGTGGAACTAAAGTCTGATTTAATCTGTAAAATAGATGTAAAGTAACTCAAAGTTATGTAGTGGAATAAAAGTAGACTATTTACCTCTGAATTGTATTGGGGTAGAAGAACAAAGTAGCAAACAACTGAAATAGTCAAATACAGTATAAGTACCTCAAAATTGTACTTAGTACTTGAGTACATGTACTTGGTTCCTTCCCACCGTTAAGATAACAAAGCTAGCTTCTTCTTCTTCTGTTGTTTTAATGGCGGTTGGCAAACAGCTTTAAGGTGCATTCCTGTAAGCTAGCTAATTGTTTAACGTTCATTTAACGGTAGCTAACTGCCGGTTTGAGTTATCGTTAGCTTTTAGTACGCTATCGTGTCTAGCAATACGTCAATGTAAAGAATTAGAGACAGAGTGTGTGATGTATCTGTAATAAGCTTAGACTGTCTGTGTATATATATATAAAGGTCATTAGCAATGTCTTATTGTTTATCTGCTCCTCCGCGTCCGTCCACTTTTTTTCAGAGTGGATTGTTGTTTCCGGTTGTAACCTTTAAAATAAAATCTTATTTTGGGATATTTTATAATGATCTGAAAACTACAAATTGTTTGTAATCTGCACATTTGTTTATATTATTCATTTGATTCAGGGCTTTAAATATATATATATTTTTTTTATATTGTTTTTAATATTTATTGAGGGGGAAATCCCTTAGTGTTTTATTTTATTTTGACAAGGGACAACAAGGGTTTATTGAGTTAATTGATCAAAATGACATGTACCTTGGCAATGTTAAATTTGCTCGTCTCTGTTATACATCATTTTTAATTGATGTTTGATTCTGGGAGACTGACGATGAACAACGGATAAAGATATTCCCCATTTATATTATGGTATTATAGACAAGACGTATACGTATGACGCTGTAAGCTTTTGAAATATTTATTGAAGAGAAAAGAGTCACTGGGTACAACACAAAGCTTCCAAATCAAAGGGGGACTGGTCAGAAGAAGTGAAATAAAATATTATGGCAACTCAAAGATATTGATAAAGACACGTGCACAACTTTCAGAGCAATTGAAAGTACAATTGTTATAAATGCTGTTGTATCCACAATACAAGGCAACCGAGCAGAACAACACTGTGTGAAACACGCACAGACACAGAAATTAACAAATATATTAATGTTTGTAAAAATAAATGTAGAAATACATTAAATATATGTGTGTTCTGTTTTATTCTCAACTTATATTTTTTTAGTTATACATTTATTTATTTATTTAGTGTTTATTTATTCCTGTATTTATTTCTAAATTAATTAATTTCAGTTTTTTCCTCATGTATTAATCCTGTATTTATTCCTGTATTTATTCTGTATTTATGCATTTATTTACGTGTCACTTATGTCATGTATTGTCCTCAGTACCTGGCTGCTCGTTGTGTGCATAAAGGTTCAAATTCATTCACAATCACAGCAAGACCTATAGTTTTCTTAGCCCTGGTGCACTGAAGCAACTGCATTTGATATTTCTTCACACTCATTTCTTCACGTTTCTATCATGAGCTACCTCTTTTAATATCTGCACGGCTTTCCACGTTTCATATGTGTATACAGACTCTTTTTGCACTATTTCTATTTTATTTGTATTTACAAACATCTTACATCATTCCCTTGCACTATTTTATGTTATTTCTTGCACTTTTTTATTGGTTTTATTTGTTTTATGTCCTATATACAGTATATTATGTTGCATTGTTGGAGGAGCCTGGGACTTAAGTTTTTTATTGCCATATCTATACTGTAGGTGTAGCTACTGTGCATATGTCAATAAAGCCTTGAATCTTAAAAAACAAAAGTGAATCATACCAAATATCTTTTATCTTATTCTATTTAATTTTTACGATTATTTTGTCATATTATACTGTACATAATTTTTTGGTATATCTACATTTTACATTCTTATTCGATTTCTTATTGAATAATCCATTCTTGCACAATAATATCTTGCATTATATTTGTTACTGGAGATTTGTATTTCCACATGTATTAAATATATTGGACTGTTTATTTCTATCTCTCTCTCTCTCTCTCTCTCTCTCTCTCTCTCTCTCTCTCTCTCTCTCTCTCTCTCTCTCTCTCTCTCTCTCTCTCTCTCTCTCTCTCTCTCTCTCTCTCTCTCTCTCAAGGCAATAAAACTGTTTCTGAACATTTTACTTTGAAATCAAAGTGAACTCGTTTCCGGTGTTGTGTCCGTCCTCTTTTACAGTCCGACGCAGTGCAAACACACAGCGGCCGCTTTTCACCAGCTGCACTTTACGCGCCTTTTGCATTTTGCCCATTGGGCGCTACGGAAGCCGTGAGGTTCCAATTCCCCGGTTGGTTTTCTACGAGGTTCCGCTTCCTCTCCGCCAAGGCAAGTTCCTCCCCGGGCCGAGTAAAGATCCAGGCCGAGAGTAATCGGGGGGAGAAAGACAGGATTTAAGTGTGTGTGATTATAAACGATATCGTGCTTCACACCTCCAGGAAGTTCTGGGTGAAATCTGAGCGTAAAATCTGGTTTTTCAACGGAGCGAATATCAGAAAACACGGGGCGGATTTTCTCGAGTTAAGCCGGAGTGCGGTTGAGTTTTCTGCGGTTGACAGCAACCGGTGAGTTTACATTTCTTTATTCTACACCAACAATCAATCAGTCTTAAATACAAGTTACCAAGTTATTTGGTTAAAGCTGTTAACTACTTTATTGTGGCATTCATTGTTCTTCCATATCTGTTAATGGGACGATTGTGTTCGATCTTAGCTGGGATAAACACACGAGATCAAGAGCCTAATGTTAGTGGGATTTGTGGCTTGACTGTCTGATTTTTAATGTAAACCAAAGAAAGAACAGCCTTAAGGCACACTATAGTATTGTACAAATGTTGATACAACACATCTACAATACCAGCTTACAAAAGTCTGGCCTTCTTCGCTAAAATAGGTCTATGAATATCTAACAGAAGCTGATTTCATGACATGTAAGTGAATAAAGCAGAATATTCTGTCACTTCAAGTTGTTCTGTATACAAATGCAGAGCAAACACACAGTATAGTGAATGTGTAGCTACAATAAACACTTGGAAATTATCAGTTTTGCTGTGTTGAAGTGGAAGTTCAAAGTATACAGGCCAAACTATTATCCTGAAATCCTCAACATATAATCAAAACACTTCAAATCCATTGAAACATGCTGGAGATGATTTAACACGCATCTTGTTAGGAAACGACTTCATTGCATCACAGATACATCCCTTTTTAATTAAATCAAACAATCTTGAATAATTAAACATAAGGTCCCCCTACGTACTTAAATGAAAACAAACGTCGTGTGAGTTTGTTCCTTTTTTGTTATAATTCCTGTACCTTAATATCACGCTATATTTTTAACTTCCATGATAGGGTATATACAGCTATACAGATATACAGATATACAGATATACAGCTGTATTTAAAATTAACCATGTTCTGCTTTTTTTTTTACAGCAATAACATTCTCTTGTATTGTACCACCTCTACTACCTAAATAATGTATACCTGCAAACTACTGCTGGGGACCAGAGATTTGTGTATTCATAGAGAATTTTTTTTAGGGATATCCCTGGGATATTTCAGACAATCTGTGTTACTAGTCTTGCCTTTGGCCTTGCCTGCAGATGCTACAAATCAGTGTTTAAATCTGTGACTCCTCAGTCCAGACTGATCATGCTGCAGCTACACTTAAACATTCATCCATTTGCCCTGAAGCTAACAGACGTCCACTGTGAGTCCTGAGCCTGGATCTGAACCTGGTCCAAACTGTGGAGTAAAGTTCTGCCAGCGACCCGGGACTCCAGGTTGCCAGGTTGGTGATTTGTTTCGTCACAAAGTTGACACAGGGGGAGGCAGCTGTTTGAATAACAGGATAAGGTGCTCGAGTGTGGGTGTGCAGCTGGGCAGTGTGTTTACGCCTCATTCACTGCCAGACCCATAATCAGTGAAGTCACTGTAGAGGGAGTGTGTGTGTGCATGATATAGCACAAATGTGTGTGTGTGTTTGTATGTTTCTGTGTGAGTGAATGAAAGGGGTAACAGTGGTTTTGTGTGTGTGTTTGCTTCATCACTGCTTCCAGGAAGTCCTGTGCAGAATTTCCTTTTATAGAAGCCGAATACAAAAGGCTTGCTGTCCACTTCCTGTAAACAGCTCCGGGGCTGTGTTTGCTGCGTTCTGGTTGGTCGGCGCGGTCCTGTGAGCCTCTGGCGCTCGGGGAGTTCCAGGATGAGGAAGTGGGCTTCCCTTCATGGCGGACAGCCACAGGGAATAGAAAGTGCTCTGATGCAGCGAGAGGGCGCAGAAAGAGGAATAAGAATTATAATAAGCAGAGGGATGTGACATGCTCCGAGGCACAGGGAGGATGAAACGTTTGTGTGAATTCAAAACAGATGAGGGATGGAGTAAGGCGGTCTCTGGATGGCAGAAAGTGTGGTTCGGTGACTGAGCATGCAGGGTTTGAGGAAACAAATATAAGAAGCTTAGGGACAGGGATGTAAAGAAAGTAGTCAATTGAAAATAAAACATTCATTCATCAATTCAACACCTTCAAGTTTCATCAACAAGGCAAAAATAGGTCAACGTTTTTACATCTTAAACTAGGGAAGGTTCAGGTTCTTTATTTGTACCCGTAGGCAGATAAAAAGACAAGGGATCCATCCTGACACACTCTAAAAACAAACACAGACAACAGACACATCTCTAATAAAAGTACACCCTGCTCCGTCAAATCTCAAAAATATTTAAAAACACTTAAAACAAAAACACTAGTACAAACATGGACATTCAAAATTCATAATTAAATAAATAGGGGAATACGTTGATCTGATATTTTCTCTTTTAAATAATGAATATGATAACTCAATTTGCCTGTAGACACAGAGTATCAACACAACACCAGTGTTCTTTTATGTGTTTCATCAATGTCTGTACAGCGGCTCTCTCAAGTGATCACATTTCTGAAGCTGTAATCTTGCAAATCTTTGGCTTCTTTTAGAAATAAACCTTTAACAAAAGATGGATGAAGAGATTGACAAGGTGAATATTATGTAGTATAGATAAGATAAGATAAGATGGACCTTTATTAACCCCCGTGGGGAAATTCAGTTGTACAAAGCAGCAACAGGGTAAGCGTGAAAAAACAGGACAGCACAGATTCACACAGATTAATAAAATAAAAAATAAAATCAAGAAGAAAATTAAAATAATAATGATAATAATAATAAAAGACTATGAAATAGGAGATGAGTAAAAATAAGAGTAAAATAACTGTCAGCATATGGGTCATTCCAGAATTGGAGGACAATTTAGACACCAACATTTTTGAAAAATGAACCTTTCATTTTATTATTTTTTGTTATGTATTTAGGAAAAACAGATAATAAACCATCAAAAAAAGTGATTTGCCCAGCTAAGGCATCAAATGTATATTTTCCAATGAAGAATTAACCCTGTTACTCTAATTATAGTAACAGGGTTGCAAGTAACAGGGTTGAAAATCAATGCTAATTTTAGCTTTTACCTCAGGAATTAATGCTAGCTGCACAATGTAATGTTATTGTCAAGGAATGGACACACTTAGATATTTAACTAAAGAAAGATACATTTGAAATTAATTTGTTTTAGTCTCATAATTTGAGTAACAGGGTTGCGTTTGTATGAGTGCCACACTCCTTCAAGAGTGACAAGATTGGAAATATATTACAAATAAAAGAGAGGACTTAGTTTTGGTCTACCCATGGTAGTAGCACATGGCTTGCTGATGTCCTTTCCACTGTGTCATGCGACAAACAGTTTTTTCACTTCCTCTGCCAAGCTAAAAAGGTTTCGGTAACAGGGTTGCACGCATGTTGAGGGACACACCTTCTGTGCAAAATTACTGTTATTTAAAATGTGTTTATGATTTAACAAATTGATTTTACCATTACAAGACACATATATCAATAGAATAATACCAAAAAAGTAAATAAAAACCCTATTTTAAATGTTATATTTGACATGCAAGTTGGTCACCAAGAAGCTGGGACAAGAGAAAGGGGCAATTTTAGGGGGTGTTCGAGAGCTATTTGATATTTTAAATAATATTTTGAACCCACTTTTTCTACAACTTTATATGCATCTTGTCTCAAGACAAGTATATTTAACACAACAAGTGCATGTCTTAGCTTTTTGGGCATGGATTATTAGATTTTTTATATGGGGGACATGAAATGTCTTCCAATTCTGGAATGACCCATATATACATATTTGGTCATCTAAATTATGAAGTACGAAATGAGTTCAAGTGAAAAGTGAAAATGGACATCTGTACATATAGTGACATGTCTATCTACATATTTGGTCTACTACTAATATATTAACATGGGTTGTGGAAACAGTGTATATTTATGTATAAATATATAAATAGCATAACTAACTAACGGGACCTAGCCATTTCTGTCTGAAGTTCTACGGGGGGTTATGTTCCTGACTATCTCTGGGCCTTTAACTTCAGAGTATTCCCAATAACTGGTCCTGGCAAAGATCCATACCCCCTGTTAGAAAGCAGAATTGTTATGTTTTCAGGTTAAGCTAGGCTAACTTAATGCTAACTCCAGCTACACCTTTATCACACAGACAGGAGAGTGGTATTGACCCTCGAATCTACTTCTAGGAAGGTATGTTTTCCAAAAATTAGAAGATTAAATAAACCTTTAAAGTCTCCATTGACAAGCTACTTAATGACTCTGTTAGTCATATAATAAGTATTACTAGGGTGTGTTATACATAAACACAGGAGTGTGTACCCTGCAGTGCTGCTTTTTAAGTGTGCACCTGCCTGCTCCTCTCAAAAGAAAATGTTCTGGTGTGCTTAGCAAGCTTAGCTTAAAGCCACATAAAAGAGTTTCGAGGACTCACAATGGAGCCCCTGTTGGCAAGGAGGAGTGTTTTACTGCAGGGAATGAGGAGGAGCCGCGTGTGTGTGTGTGTGTGTTCTGTCTGTGTGTGTGTGGGTATGTGGGTGTGTGTGTGTGTGGGTGTGGGATGGACAGGAGAACACGCCCAACCCCTGCAGCCCTGAAGCTAAGGAATTCCTACTGAGAGACAACGTGTCTCAGCCTGGCCAGCCAGCACCCAATATTTAGTCCAACACACACACACACACACACGCACACACAGAACACACACACATTCTGACTTTGAAAAAAGACATTAAGGCTGGACGCGGTCTAATTTTATCGTGCCGGGGCAAGAATACACTTGTCCGATCCAAGATCACTGAGGAATGAGGCAGCTTGCTAAGACCTGCCCTTAGATGAGAGGTAGAGGGCAGAGCAGTAAAGACTGAGCTGAGTAGTTAAATGAGCTCTGGAGACAGAGGCACGCACACTAGCCGGGAATACAAAAGTTTTTATTGTCTACCTTATCTTCTGTAAGACGCAGAAGAGGCGACAAACAGGTCAGTATTTAGCAGCTTATATAGAAAAGGGCAAGTTGGTGAAAAGATACAGAAAGATTGGAGAGTTTTTGGTGTCCTGTAAGTGGGCGGATTTGTTTTAGAATCATTTTCCTCACTGTCGAATTTGAAGTTACCTGATTTAACATCATGGCTATCAGTAGAAGAGATAGCTGCCGCCCTGAAGCGTGAGACTTAGAGTACAATGAATGTATCAGAAACTATGCAGGGAGGGAAACCTTGAGTCAGGTTAGTGCTGATGTGTCTTCTGGCACGAGCACTCGTTTATTACACATGACAAATCACCTTATGTGAACTGAGTTTCGTTAACCTCAAAGACCTAATGTTCTTTGTGCTGGTTAATGTGTTAAGAATATGAGCCTGCATCAAGATATCTTCACAGGTTCAAAGTTCATTTATTGTCCTTGTACAACACAGGGTTACACAACCAGACTCAGTTGTAATCCCTTTATACTACCACAAGACAAACAAGAGAGAAGCCGATGCATTCCTGTAGGGAATCTTTGGAATTTCAGGAGGAAAGTAAATGGGAGATACAAAAACACTTTTCCTGGGCAGATAATATGTCCTTCATCTTTAAAGTAGGGTGGGTAATGTGGTTTAGGAACATATTTAGTTGTTTAAATTATCTTCACATCCCGAAAGCAATCATTTAAATCAAATGAGACCTGACTGTCTGCCTGTGCGTTTTCAGAGTCTTCCTCAAGCTGCCAACTAGACGTTTTGGGTACTAACAATAGCCATGTTTGTTATTTAGGTTTATTATAACGTGTTGTGTACACAATGTTAATTTTGGGCAAGTGGGTGAAGAGAAGGCCTGAGGAGACGGGTTGACCGTGTGGCCAACTTGGCAAGTTCTCCATTAGATTTAGTGGCTTTTGGAGTTAGTGCCCTCATTAGAAAAGAGTTGGTAATATTTTCTAATCTGTTTTACTCTTGCTGGCTTCTCCAATGCTACCTACCCAAGCTTTAACAGTTACGGCCCCTACACACGGCGGCGTGCGTTGACGCTTCAACGCTTCTGCCCATTCACTTTGAACGGGGTGACGTCACGCTTCGCCGACCTGCATTGTTGCGTTGCTCGCTTCAAAAGTAGAGCAATGTTCTACTTTTGAAGCTTCGACGGAAGCGCCAGCCAATCGAATCACATGCCAGTACAAGCTCTGGCCAATCAAACCGCGTGCTTGTGTGTCCGGGGCGGGAGATTCAGGTGATTGGTTGTTGGTCTAGCTTCAGACATGCCCGCCGGCAAGCGTCAACGCCCGCCGGCAAGCGTCAACGCACGCCGCCGTGTGTAGGGGCTGTTACAATTCCACATCAGGGAAACAGTGTCCATTAACTTTGAGTTCACTTTGAGTTTGAGTTGGCCAGTAAAGTGCAACACCCTGAAGACTCGGCGAGTTCAGAACCAAGAGTTCTTCATTAGATTGAGCGACTTTTGGAGTTAGTGCCCTCATTAGAAAAGAGTTGGTACTATTTTCTAATCCGTCTTACTCTTGCTGGCTTCTCCAATGCTACCTACCCAAAGCTTTAACAGTTACGGCCCCTACACACGGCGGCGTGCGTTGACGCTTCAACGCTTCTGCCCATTCACTTTGAACGGGGTGACGTCACGCTTCGCCGACCTGCATTGTTGCGTTGCTCGCTTCAAAAGTAGAGCAATGTTCTACTTTTGAAGCTTCGACGGAAGCGCCAGCCAATCGAATCATATGCCAGTACAAGCTCTAGCCAATCAAACCGCGTGCTTGTGTGTCCGGGGCGGGAGATTCAGGTGATTGGTTGTTGGTCGAGCTTCAGACATGCCCGCCGGCAAGCGTCAACGCACGCCGCCGTGTGTAGCGGCTGTTACAATTCCACCTCAGGGAAACAGTGTCCATTAACTTTGAGTTCACTTTGGGTTTGAGTTGGCCAGTAAAGTGCAACACCCTGAAGACTCGGCGAGTTCAGAACCAAGAGTTCTTCATTTAGATTTAGCGACTTTTGGAGTTAGTGCCCTCATTAGAAAAGAGTTGGTACTATTTTCTAATCTTGCCTTGTCTTGCTGGCTTCTCCAATGCTACCTACCCAAGTTTTAACAGTTACAATTCCACATCAGCGAAACAGTGTCCATTAACTTTGAGTTCTAAACCTGTGCAGATGAGCACTTTACTGAGTCGGCCAGTTAAGTGCAACATCCCGAAGATGTGGGCACCACTGTCTCCTTTTCCTGATTTAAGTTATGTTGTGGTGTTATGTATCCGAGGTGACTCAGGCCCGCAGAGCTGTGTGAGGAAGAGGTCATAGGTTTGCCTCCTGTTACCTGAGCTTAGTCTTTTATCCAGGTTAAAAAGGTGGCGTGTCATTGGGCGGTCAGACACAGGAAGTGAGGAAACCTTTGTTTGCTTCCTGTTTCCTGTCTGTGATGTCACCAAGAATGTAGGCTGCAGCTCACAGTTGTTTAAACCGCTTGCTCTGCAGTACTGGAAGAGGTGCTTTTGTGCATGTGTGTGCATGCGTGTGTGTGTCTGCAATGTCACCATATTAGGGTAATGGATTACCCTCAGAATGTCTACCCATGGTAAAGAGGAAGCACCCAAATCAAGAAGTAATACAACCGTTTCAAAAAACTCCATTATAAGTACAATTCCTTCATCTAAAATCCAACTTAAAATGGACAAAACTATGGCTGCACGATGTATCATGTTTTTATCATCATTGCTTTACAAACACATTGTGAAAGACTGCAACATAGCAATGAGGCATTTATTTAGTCAGTGAAAAGAGAAGTCATTTGTAGAGAACTGGACTAAATAAAGCTGCCGTTCCCTTTTTGTGTTTAATTATTCATTTGCTCAGTAAGAGAATGTTTGAAATATCTTTTCATAAGATGGCTTGTTGTTGTATTTCAGCAGTCACCGGAAAGCAGCAGTATGGCGCACCTCACTGCACATTGATACTTGTTTATTTATTGAAGGAAAGATCTCACATTTTCCTCATTGTGCAGCCACATAAAAAACAAGCCAAAGATACCTGTAAAACACTGGTTTATTGCTACGTATTTCCCAAGCATATGTAATATAAAATACTCAAGTGAAATGAATACAAATTTAAGAACAGTATTTGAGTGTTTACATCCGTGTTTCTGAGGTTTCACAGCTTGGTTTTCCTTCTCATCGAGCTGCTCCTCGCTCTTATCCCTTTGCCTTGCCATTCTCAGTCTCTCTCTCTCTCTCTCTCTCTCTCTCTCTCTCTCTCTCTCTCTCTCTCTCTCTCTCTCTCTCTCTCTCTCTCTCTTTCTCTCTTCCCCCCTCTGCCGCTTTTCCTTCCTCATTCATGTGTTACGAGACTCAACACGTCACTTTGCCCATTCAGCGTTGCTTCCTGTTCACACTCTCTGTTCCCTTCGCTCCAGCCTTCAGTCTCACCCACAGATTGTGGCATGGATGGATTTGTTAGGTCCGTGTGAGTCTTTCTGATTTTGTTGTAACGTTGTTTCGTTCTCTGTGAAATGTAGGCTAAGCTTTTACTTGATTTTGAACCGTCTCTTAGTAGCATTCAGGAGCTAACGTGCATGGTTTTAGCTGGACTTGTGACATCTAAAAAAAACAGGAAGAAGTGAGCCAGTGTTTGAGGGCACAACAGACTTGCTGTGTCTCTTCTAATTCGTCCGTCTCCTCTTGTGTGTGTGCAGGTGTACGTGTGTGTAGATGTGTGACAGCGGAGTGTGTGAGGACAAGCCCCCCGCCCCCCCTGTCAGGATGAGCAGCCAAGGAGGAGCCAAGGACCCGCAGTCGGCCAATCACAACTCTCGCCCACTGCCGTCTGTACCGGAGGAGAAGAAGTCCAGAAACAAGATCATCTCCATGTTTGCCTCTGAGAAAGGTAAGGGGATGTGGAGCATAGACACACACACACACACACACACACACACACACACACACAATAAAACAACAACAAACACACACCCATCATCGCAGTGGATGACCAACTTCATCTCTACCTGCAGGAGGCAGGAAGAAGGACCGCGACAAGGACAGACCCGAGATCTCCTCGCCCTCAGACTTTGAACACACCATCCATGTGGGCTTCGATTCGGTCACTGGAGAGTTCACTGTAAGTAAATCAAATCAAATCAAAATGTATTATCGCCCCAAATCACAAGAAATGCCTCAAAGGGCTGTACAAAGCAAAGACAAAATCAAATTACAAACTTCATAGCATAATAATTATAAAAACATTATACATCAACAGAAGTATTACCACGTGATAAAAGCATGTGACTGAAGTGATGCTAGATGGAAACTAGGTGATGGAAATTAGTTTACAAGGAAGGCAGGTGCAAAAATAAACACCAAGATATGGATACAACATTTAAAGTGTTACATAAACACTTTAAATGTTGAAGGTACTTATCCATATCTTGGTGTTTATTTGTATACCTCATTTTGTAAAGCACTTTGGATTGCCTTGTGTTGAAAGGTGCTATATAAATAAACTAGCCTTGTTAAGATAAAAAAATGATGGAGTAAATATGTAATTATACTCCCTAACCTAAGAATGAATCAGGTTTAAATTGAAAGGAAACACTAAAACTAAGCTTGGACAATTAACTTAGCATCAATAATAATAATCAGAGAGAAACGGCTATCCTGTCACGGTCTGAAGTCTAACTCATTTCCAGCTACATATGTGGACATGAGAATCGTGTTGATCTTCATTGAATTGTTGAAATATCTCATCTAGGAAATACTTTAGTAATATCTTACATTTTTGCTATATTAATATAACATCAAGAGCTCTGTTTAATGAAAGGAATCAAATATGTGAAAAGGAAGTCACTCCAGTATCACAAGCTGTAAAACAAATACTGCAAATAGTTTACACGTAGCTACAGGAGCGCCACATTGACCTAGATATTTTTGTCTTTGTTTTATGGGCCACGAGGGGCTAAATAAGGGAAGTTAAACACTTTGGCGCACTCAAACAATTGCTCTACTACTCCTTCCGTTTGGTTTGACCATTTGTTACAGGAAAAACAAGCACAAATACAATGTATCCAGACAATGATAACCTTAAGTGCGCTGACGTTGCCACTGATGGTTAAGGGTAATGCGGTGGAACATTTTTGCAGGACTTTAGTACACATTTCACCCCCTCCCTCTCTTTCCATACCAAACCACACTGAGCAGGTGAGCGCAGCCAGGTTCAACTACCACTTAATACCACGTAATAAATAGAAACACATATGTGGCTCCTACAGGGCAAGGCAACTCAAATGCAGCGACAAAAAGATACGTTTTGAGTCTGGGTTTAGGTAGATCTCTGTATATGTTTTTCAACGTGTGTGTGTGTGTGTGTGTGTCCAGGGCATGCCGGAGCAGTGGGCCCGTCTCCTGCAAACCTCCAACATCAGCAAATCAGAACAGAAACAAAATCCTCAGGCTGTCCTCGATATTCTCAAGTTTTACGACTCCACCAGTGGAAAACAGAAATACCTCAGTTTCTCCGCCTCGGGTCAGTTGTCTTTTGCTCAACATATTAATAAAAAGTCCAATGTTGTGACTGCACAGATTCCTCATTCTGTCCTTTCCCTCTGCTTCTTTCAGATAAAGACTCGCAGTCGGTAAGGGGTCCCTTTCATCGTTTCCACTCTCATTCATCACATTGCATACGTTGTGCTTATTCTCACTGTCACTCTTTAATATATGTTTGCTGTTGCAGTCAGGAAAGCAAGGTACAGCCACCTCCAAATCAGGAGGAAAGGATGGAGACGACGATGACGAAGACGACTCGCCTCCTCCAATCGTGGCCCCGCGGCCAGAACACACAAAATCAGTGAGTCCAAGTGTGTTTTGTGATGTTTTTGATTTTAAAACCTTGTATATTACCTTACATAGTATTTTTACTATATGTACAGCACTTTGGCTCGACCAAAAATCGTTTATAAATGTGCTATATAAATAAAACTTGATTTGATTTTGATTTGATATGTACAATACTATTTCATATTTGCAAGGCAAGGCAAGTTTATTTATATAGCACATTTCAACACAAGGCAATTCAAAGTGCTTTACAAAAATGAAAGACATTAAGAAAGATATTATGAAATGACATTTAAAAACACTCATTTAAAAGCAAAGACACATGAATAAAAGTTACAGTGCAATGTTGAAATGTTTAGGTCTGACTCTCAATCATTGCTAACTTTTTAGCAGTAATAGTTTTCTTCGACCTCCCTGTCTTTCTACTTTCTTGTTTAACTTATCCGTTAGTTATGTCAAGTGTTTCATGCTAAACGAACCCCCCTTTAGAAAATTCTAATCTGACCCCATGGTACCTTTTTAGTTTGAGCCGAAACTATTCCTCTTGCACATACTGTTACGTTAGATGTTAGTCCTTATTGCTTGAGAGTAAGATGAATTTCCAAATGCATGATTTACAAGCAGCTCATAATAAAAAGGGGAGTGATTCGAGAAGACAAAATGGAAGAGACATCCACTATTAATCATTGGACAAAAATACGTTGTATGGAGAGATTGTAGTTTTCCCTAAAGGCCAAATATGATTTTGGACCAAGAGATCTGAAGATAGTAAACCAAGTCAAAGTTGATCTGACTTATAGAATAAACGAGTGAGAAGAACATGTGATTTATATTACTGTATCGCCTCCAACAGTGTCTTCTTTGTTTCTTTTTGAAAATCTAAGATAAGCGCTTCCCATGGTCAATTGTAAATATTTAAATCTTATTTTATAAAGAAAACATCTGGAAGTGCAAGATGGTAATGGTTTGTTTTACTTATTTACTGCCAGTAATACTAATACGGTGTCAAATAATAACATTTCAAAGGTCACCTATTATGCAAAATCCACCTTTTCATGTCTCTTCTACATCAACATGTGTCCCCTCTTCCTCATGTCTCTTCTACATCAACATGTGTCCCCTCTTCTTCATGTCTCTTCTACATCAACATGTGTCCCCTCTTCTTCATGTCTCTTCTACATCAACATGTGTCCCCTCTTCTTCATGTCTCTTCTACATCAACATGTGTCCCCTCTTCTTCATGTCTCTTCAACCTCAACATGTGTCCCCTCTTCTTCATGTCTCTTCTACATCACCATGTGTCCCCTCTTCTTCATGTCTCTTCTACATCAACATGTGTCCCCTCTTCTTCATGTCTCTTCTACATCAACATGTGTCCCCTCTTCTTCATGTCTCTTCTACATCAACATGTGTCCCCTCTTCTTCATGTCTCTTCTACATCAACATGTGTCCCCCTCTTCTTCATGTCTCTTCTACATCACCATGTGTCCCCTCTTCTTCATGTCTCTTCTACATCAACATGTGTCCCCTCTTCTTCATGTCTCTTCTACATCATCATGTGTCCCCTCTTCTTCATGTCTCTTCTACATCACCATGTGTCCCCTCTTCTTCATGTCTCTTCTACATCAACATGTGTCCCCTCTTCTTCATGTCTCTTCTACATCAACATGTGTCCCCTCTTCTTCATGTCTCTTCTACATCAACATGTGTCCCCTCTTCTTCATGTCTCTTCTACATCAACATGTGTCCCCCTCTTCTTCATGTCTCCTCTACATCAACATGTGTCCCCTCTTCTTCATGTCTCTTCTACATCAACATGTGTCCCCTCTTCTTCATGTCTCTTCTACATCAACATGTGTCCCCTCTTCTTCATGTCTCTTCTACATCAACATGTGTCCCCTCTTCTTCATGTCTCTTCTACATCAACATGTGTCCCCTCTGTGTAAAGAGACTCTGAAAGTTTCAGGAACAAAGATTCTCTCTCTTTTTGTCCTGATCCATTTATATAAAAACCTGTCTGAAAATGAGCTGATCAGATTTTGGCCACTTTATGATGTCATAACGATGTTTGGCTTGTGTAACCATTAGCCAATCACCAACCAAGGTAAAGATGTCCCTGTGTCTGTATCCCTGAATTGTTCTGTGTTGCTTCAGGTGTACACGAGGTCGGTGATTGACCCGATCCCCGCTCCAGAGACGGACGGCGCCGCTAAGGGGGCTGACCGACAGAAGAAGAAGGCGGGTGGCAAGATGACTGACGAGGAGATCATGGAGAAACTTAGTATGTGAAACACACGCTGGAAATGACACATCGCAGGCACTGCCGCATCTATTTCTGGATCGAGTAGAGCTGACTAAACAATTTTGTATGTCTCCTAGGAACTATTGTCAGCATTGGAGATCCTAAGAAGAAGTACACTCGCTATGAGAAGATCGGCCAGGGGTGAGTCTAAATTAATCAGTGGCAACATCGCAAATTGTCAGGATGGGTTGCTGGCCTAAATCGACCAATAGGGAAACGTTTTAATATGTAATTGTGGAGGAAATTCTTAAAGGTCCCATGTCATGCTTTTCCGGTTATTACCCGTCCCCTTGTGTGTTATGAAGGTGTTTCTGCATGTAAACGGTCTGCAGAGTCAAAAACCCTCAAAGTACACCCTGTAGCGAGTAAAACTCTAACACAGAAAATACCTGTCTATGCTGCCCCAGAACGCCTCGTTGGAGATTTATTGTTTTCTTCCTGGGTATGGTGACGTGCCCATACCCAAATGGACCCATTGGTCCAAATGGACCAATCCGTGGAGCCGTTACGTTATGTCCGCGGAGCCGTTACGTTCCTCACACACACACTCAATCTTTTCTTAGCTGCAGCTCCGCCGATTTCTCCTCCCTGAGACGGCGGGAGGCTGTGAGTCGGTGTGTGAGCACACACACAAACTCCCAGCCAGGCTGCGGGTGTGTGTGTGTGTTCGGGCTGGGTTTCGCTGTGTCTCGCTGTGTCTCGCTGTGTCTCGCTGTGTCTCGCTGTCTCGCAGACGGCCACTGGGCTCATAGGGGGGGGGGGGGGCAGGAGCTCCAACAAGCCGCTCCAACAAGCCGCTTAGGACAGAGAGTGAATACACATACTATACAGAGATGCTGTATGAGAAACCAATGAGATTTTGGAAAATTGCACAATATAAATCTATTCTAGTAGACCTCAACAATGGAATTATGATCAGTAGAAATGGCCATGACATGGGACCTTTAAGAGAAACTGATAAATGATTAATGGACAAAGTTTGTCTTTTGTTATATTTAATAAAGTAATAAAAAAAAGTCAATATACAAGTGAAATCGATCTCAAATGCAGGAACAGAGCAACTTCCTCCTCAAAGGAAAAAATGGCTTTGCACCAAGAGCACAGCTTACAGTCACACTATATAGTAGAGAGAATAGCAAACTTGTCCCACCCATCAATTCTTTTAGGCATCATCTAAACATCCCCACCATTAAACCATTAAACCCTCCAGTCCTTAACCATTTGCAAACCCATCTTTTGCACTTCCTGAAATGTAAATCCTGAACACATGTCTCTGTTAAACACATATAAGACTACAAATACAATTTAACAGTGTAAAAGGCAACCAGAGTATAAGACTATATGTTTTAAATGATTATATGAAAATTTGACACGACAGTAATTACTGTTTTTTTTCACTTTCAGGGCATCTGGCACAGTTTACACAGCCATAGATGTTGCTACAGGACAAGAGGTAAGGTTACTTCATTCAAAACACAGCAGTGGTACTGTTAGATTTAAGTAATTCATATTACAACTGCTGCTGATTCTGTTATATTACAGTTATCACGACATTTTAAGGTCAACCTGAAGTTACGAAGAAGCATTACTGCCGTTTGAAGAGGGCGACTTTGTACTACTACTTATAATAAGAGAGTTATCTTCCTCTTGCAAGAAGATCTCTATTCAATATAAATATTAAAAACTGAATTACTCTCTATAGATCTGTATCTATGTTTCCTTTTTGCAACGTTATGTGTTCCTACTTTGACAGTCCAGTATCCAGAGTATATTGTAGTAGCATACACGTACATTATTTCTTCCTTGCAGTCTCCCCTATAGCTTGTGTGTACATGTGTTAGCACTATTAAAGCATGTTGTGTTCTGCAGGTGGCCATCAAACAGATCAACTTGCAGAAGCAGCCGAAGAAAGAGCTGATAATCAATGAGATCCTGGTCATGAAGGAGATGAAGAACCCCAACATTGTCAACTTTGTAGATAGGTAACGCTGACCCTAACACACACTGTACATACAGACATACCGTGAGTTCACTGTGTTGTGGTTGACTGTGTGTGTTTTCAGTTTCCTCGTAGCAGACGACCTCTACGTGGTGATGGAGTACCTGGCGGGTGGTTCTCTAACTGATGTGGTGACAGAAACCTGCATGGACGAGCCTCAGATCGCCGCCGTGTGCAGAGAGGTAGGACTCTTCAAAGACGTTTTAAAAACTGCCAAAGCACGTCATGATTTATACATCATGCGTACAATGAAGGGCTCAATAGATCCCATCTATTTGATCTTTTCTTGAATATAATTTACCTCTGTTATGTATTTGTTTGTTTATTTGTCTGTTTATTTATTTGTTGTTTTATATTTTTGTTTTGTTTTTGAATAACAAATGTATTTCTTTAAGAAAAAAGAAAGAAAAAAAAAATATTAAAATGTTAGTAATTTAGTTTTTGGGAGAAGGGGTGGGATTATACATAATTTAGAATCATTAATATTTTTGTATATCAATTTGACACTGATTAATTTTGTATTGTATAATAATTCTCATATTCATTTTTTGTATTATTGTTTTACACATTCGAAATAAATCAAATCAAATCAGATTTTACAGGACAATGGAACAACATGTTAACATTTACTAACCTACCAAACCGTGGGAGAATCCAAACTTTATTCCTTCTCATAAAACATTTGCAAAGACAATTTTGTATTCAATGTTTAGAACCTGTGTTGCTTACATCCATGTTTACTAGCTTGCAGTCAGATTTGTATTCCCTGCATTTGCCTGCATATTGCTGTGATCCTTGCTCACTGCTGCCACCTGTAGGTCACTTGAATTGTGTGCACCGTGCTTTTAAAGGTCACCTATTATGCAAAATCCACTTGTCCATATCTTTTCTACATCAACATGTGTCCCCTCTTCTTCATGTCTCTTCTACATCAACATGTGTCCCCTCTTCTTCATGTCTCTTCTACATCAACATGTGTCCCCTCTTCTCCATGTCTCTTCTACATCAACATGTGTCCCCTCTTCTTCATGTCTCTTCTACATCAACATGTGTCCCCTCTGTGGAAAGAGATTCTGAAAGTTTCAGGAAAAAAGATTCTCTCTCTTTTTGTCCTGATCCATTTATATAAAAACCTGTCTGAAAATGAGCTGATCAGATTTTGGCTACTTTATGATGTCATAACGATTTTTTGGCTTGTGTAACCATTAGCCAATCAGCAACCAAGGTAACCCCCCCCCCCACCTTATCACCTGAATCTCCTCCTAGAGCACCATTGAGTTCTTTTTAACCAAATATCTCTCAGAGGGGCGTGGGGAGGGGCTCCTTATTTTCATCTAAAGTAACAGACAGAGAATCAGCACTTTTGAAACAGGGCTGAAACAGAGGGGATTATGGGATGCTGCAATGATCTGTTTGGTGTTTGGAGCCAAACACTTCAGAGACATGTTTTGTATATATCTGAGACCTATAATATATTGATGAAAAACAGTATAATAGGGGAGCTTTAAGGATCCTCACCTTCCTCTCTCTCTTTGCGTCCAGGTCCTCCAGGCTCTGGAGTTTCTCCATGCCAACCAGGTCATCCACAGAGACATCAAGAGTGACAACGTCCTGCTGGGGATGGACGGATCAGTGAAACTCAGTGAGGGAGAGCACTCACACATAGCACAGTTTTTCATTTGCATGGGTACTTTTAATCTTAGCTGTGGTAAGGACCATGGATGAAATGATCTAAAGCAGGCGTGTCCAAACTGCGGCCATTTTGAATTGGCCCTCAGCAATTTCTGAAAGTATAATGAAATATGGCCCACAAATGAAACTTGTGCTTGTCTTGTATTGTACTTCTCAACTATACATGTAAACATATATTACACAGTATTCATGTGTTAATAAGCCAACTTTTAAAATAAATTCAGTCAATTAAATTGGAAAACATTTTCGAACAAATCTAACTTGATAAGAAAAAAGCCCAAAAACGTATTTGTATAACACGTGTGAAATATACCCTTCATATTTCCCCTAATTATAAGCAATCTGAGGCTTCTGTTTTAACGAATTAGCTGCCAACAAAATAAATGACACCCTAAGGAGAGCTGGGATCTAGGCTGTTTTTAAGCATATTCAAGTAACAAGTATAATTTACCTACATTTGATTGATTTTGCTGACTTAACTTATGAGGCAATACACCTCACCTCTGTATGTGGCCCTCGGTGAAAGAAGTCTGGACACCCCTGATCTAACGATATTTTTATTTTTATTTATTTTTCAGCTGACTTCGGCTTCTGCGCCCAGATCACCCCCGAGCAGAGCAAGCGCAGCACCATGGTGGGCACCCCGTACTGGATGGCTCCGGAGGTGGTGACCAGGAAAGCCTACGGGCCCAAAGTGGACATCTGGTCTCTGGGGATCATGGCCATAGAGATGGTGGAGGGAGAGCCTCCGTATCTGAACGAGAACCCTCTCAGGGTGAGTGTGTGCTGGGAGAAAGAACAGACACTATATGGCTATATTGGAAGCAAGTCACAATTATTTTCACGATCCCAAATCTGGCCAAATTGTATTTACATTTGGCTTAAATAAATAACATTCAGAAGTTGTTTAGCATTGGGCAGAACCAGGCTAGCTGTTTCCCATGTTTTCACCATGGATGTATAATAAGAACTGGATACAGCGTGGGAGGCGGGGGTCTCGTTCTTTCCTATGAGAGCTGCTCATCGGCGCATGAGGACAAAATGGCCCAACTTTTGAGAGAGCGAAACGTCACAGATTACCCATCATGCCTGGCTGTCAGAGCAGAAGAACCCGTATGTGCGCTCACAGAGCATGCGCCCTTTAAGCCCCGCCCCCCGAGCGCCCACTCTCGGCTCAGTAGAATGAATGGAGAGAGAAAATAAATCTAGATTCGGCTTTTAGTGCATTTTACAACTTTAAGGAGATAATGATTCTATAAGATAGTTCATATTGAGTAGTTTATTTAGTTTAAAAAAAATGATGTCTCTTTCCCAATGTTAGTCAATGGGAAAAAGTTGTTTTGGGCCGGGTGACGTACGGACTGATACGTGAAGTTGCAGTACCACCGTTTGGACACAACGAATATTGGCACAGAGTCCGGTGCAATTCCTGGGGGCTTGGTTTTCACCCTTTGTGCTAAGCTCAGCTAACTTGCTTCAGCTTCGACAGATTTGGGGGTGGTATCCATCTTTTTTTTTTTTATGTTGTAAGTGGCTATTTAACATTTTTGTTCAGCCATCTAGCCTTTGTAAAGTCATACAAATTCCCTTAACCAAAATATACATTCCTTCCTTATCACTTATGTCTTGGCAGCCCTCACATTGTACAGAGTAAGGTATGAGTATTGCTGCCACACCTTTGTTATTCAGACCGTTTAGCTTAAGTCATACCACTTTCACGCTCTTAAATGCCATCATCAATGCTCAATGTCACAAGTATCCATCTTCTAGTCAAAAAAGCAAATTTCCAAAAATGTTGGAGCTATTTACTTCCAATGGGAGAGGTAGTCCAAAGTGAAGTTTCTATTGATGTTTTGGTTTCCTCTTTTATCATCAATTACCGCATCCATATCATTATTAACCAAATGACTGAACAAAACCACATAATGAAATATTTATTTATCTTTGTCGGAACCGCTTTTTTTGACCATGATATTGTGCTCTCCTCAGGCTTTGTATTTAATCGCCACCAATGGGACTCCGGAGCTTCAGAGTCCAGAGAAGCTGTCTCCCGTCTTCAGGTCCTTCCTGTCCCGCTGTCTGGAGATGGACGTGGAGAAACGAGGGTCAGGCCGAGAACTCCTGCAGGTATGAAAGCACTACACTCACACTGCTTCAAATTTAGAAAGTAAAGGGTAGGTGCTTGCTCGTTATGATGACTAAGTTCAAGGTGATTGTTGGGAAAATACTGAATGTCCTCTTCCAATATCAGAGTCCACATGATAACAAAGGTATCCCAACTGTAGCTGTGTACATGACAGGATGTATGATTACCTAGAAGAGCATCAGGACTGTTTTAGGCATATGATAGCTATGTGATTAACATGATGATTCAGCCTCTATGGAGATAGACATATGACAAGCATGATCATTTCTGACGTGGAGCTAATCTGAATTAAACATTGAATACTGCTTTCTATTCCTCCATCTTGTGACTGTGTAACTGCCTCTCTTGTCAGAATCAGAATCAGAAACAGGTTTATTGCCAGGTAGGTTCACACATACTAGGAATTTGACTTGATGTCATGGTGCGTACATAAAATATAAAAAAACAAGAAATCTAATATAAAACACAAAATCTTTTTTACACCGTAATAAAATACAGTTAAATAGCAATAAGATAAATAAAGCAGTAGTTTGCATGGAAATAGAATGCTATGAATGCATTTTTGCATATAAACTAAGAATTGTGAAATCAGAATATGTGCAGAAAGGAGTAGGAACATTGTGTGCATTAATGTAATGCATATAGTAATAATAATGCGTATATCAGCATGTGAAGGACACTGTTCAGGAACTAGTTGATGCTCTGTATGTGATGACTACTTCCATTCTGGAGAGGATAATAAATACATGGATCCTGATATTGAAGCTCAAGCCGATGACGAGTGATGTATTCAAATTTCTGACTAATGGCTGGAAAAACCCAAAAATGTGATAAAAATGTTACAAGACAAAATAATCAGCAAATCCTTACATTTAAAAATTCAGCGTTAGAAGTTTAAATGTTAAAAGTTCAAAAATATGCCTCCTTTACTACAAAATCTTTTGAATTGCATGAAGGACAATCTGCTTTCCGATTAGGCAAGCATGAAATAATCATAACGATAAAGGCTTTGAGCGTCTGGAAATGGTTGGTTTAGGTCAACACAGTCTCACTTCCAACTTGTCCTGTATGTCAGGATCCTTTGGCGTCACTTTCAAACGCTCTGGGAAGCCCTTTAGCGTCGACTTTCAACTATCAGGGTACTCCCATAGACTTGCATAGAGCTCCCTAAACGTTGGTAATAGACGACTTGAGATGGCGGAGAAATGCTCTCTGATAAACCAAGTGTCACTGCGTTTATCAACTTGTCTCTGACTCAATATCAAGCCACAATTATTGCTTTTACTTCTTTATTTTTAATTGTTTTATGTCCGTCTTTTTGCCGTCAGTGAGGAAGAGAGTCGGGGCTCAGAATACTGAAATCTGTATTTTCTTATCCTTTTTTATTCTATTCTAAACCACACACTTATTTACTCAACAATAAGCCACAATTATTCTTGTTTTTATTTATTTGTTTAATTGAATAATGACGGATCCTGGCCAAACGTCAATATTGTTTAGGTAACTTTTTAACATTTTTAAAGAACCACATTCTTTCGACTTATTCATCATTTAGGCTACCAGATGTCATAAACAAGTGTACATAGAAATGTCAACAACAATGACGTCTTGGAAAAGTGTGTTGTCTCCGACCACCAGTCAACAACCTGAAAATGTGCAAAGACCACAGCACATGTTAGTCGTTTGTGCTTGTCACCTGCGTTAGCGTTTTAAATGTTATTTTTCGTGTACTCTGACCTTATTATATTTCACGTCTTCTCTCCTCTGTCTCTCTCTCTAGCACCCATTCCTGAAGCTGGCCAAGCCTCTGTCCAGCCTCACCCCGCTCATCCTGGCAGCCAAGGAGGCCATGAGGAGCAACCGCTAACTGTCTGCACGGACTTTAAGATGCCACTGACAGGGAAATCATCCAGCCTCTCCTACTGGTCGACGCATGACGACCATCGGCAAACTGCTAGTGTTATAATTGTTTTTCAAAGGGTCACAAAATGCCTCTCCACTTTCTTCCAGTGTTTTCTTACCTTTGGTGCCTTGTTCTAAAGCTGCATAAAGCCATTATGTGTTTTCCATGTGCTGCAGCCAGAGTATGTTTATTTGGTGGGTTTTACTCTGGTTACTACAGTACGCGATCCAGAAATGTGGTTTCAATGTTGCAAAGGTTCAAGACTCTTTACATGCTAAGGGGCCATATTCATATACACTAGGAGTCCTCGGAGAAGACGCTTTAAAAAAGAGTTTTCTCAAAATAACAACCTGCTGCTGAGAGCTAAAGAAGAAACTGGGTATGGCCTTTTCCTATAAGACATATGGATTAATACATCCACTCGTTTCTCTACAGTGATTGGTTGACAGGTCTGTCAGTGAAAAAAATCAGGCAAAGACATTTCTATTTCTTCAGGGCTGCAATCTAAACATCCTCAAATAGTGGCATGTTGTGCAAAGCATCGTCTGTTAGTGAGTGGGGCTTTTTCATTCTTGTGTTTTTGGCCCATCAGGTTATGACTTGTGAGCGAGATCTCGTGCTGATTTGCCCTCTGAGTTTCTTGTTGGGGTCTTAAAATTTGCCGTTATTTTTTATTTCTTACGACTCAGAAAGTTTGGAGCTAGTTTAAGAATTTTTTTTAATAAGGAAATCATCATTAAAATGTAGTGTCATGTAAAGGTTTTTTTAGGACAACACAAGATATGAAGAGTGGGAAATGTCCATGTGTGTGGAGAGATGGAACTTTTGCAACTGGTTTCTATGGTTGCTCTTTCTGCTGAGACACGTGCATCCAGACTGGGTCCAATAGTTAAATATTAATTAATAGCTGTACTGTGGCCCTCAGCATGGGACACTGGTCTTTGTGCAGAAGAGAAGCCATTATCAGGGTGTCCTCATATCTAATTTCAGTCAAATGAATTGATTTTCAAAGTAGTTTGACGTTCCGTTTTTTATAGGCAATATAAAAAACTGGCGTCTTTGGGTGTATCAACCCCAGAATATAATTAATTTAACTTCACACACTTCTGCTATCACACTCTTTGTGCAGGTTGTTCTACAAACTATGCAGAACACTGTAAAAACATTTCTATCGATGTGCTTGTCCTTAGCTGTGCCTTTACAATAGATGCCTTACACACATACTGTATCAGACTGTCTGAACGTGTTGAACTGGAGGTTGCTTCTTTGTTTTTTTTTGTATATTATGTATTGGTGATGTCCTGTATTTGTTAACAGCTTTTGAAAAGTATGTATTGTTTTATATTTGTAACTAACACAACAGAAGACCATTTTTTTTCCCCCCCCTGAACATTAAAACTTTTGATAAGCCTGAGACAATCAAGCCAGACTTGAGTCGAGATGTATTAAGAACGTATTGTTTAACCGGCTTTGAGTACCACATGAGTCTTGGTTTATACCTCTGTTTCAACACGTTTAGGAAACATTTAGTGAACGTGCCTTTGTCAGATTCATCGTGAAACCCACTCGTATGGTACTTAACAGGTTGACACACAAACTGAGTACATTTAAATACTATGAACAGGCTGGGAAACACTGATATGTGGCTTTTTGACAAGAACACACATTCCAGTTGTATACATAAAATATGAATGATTGAAAAGTCTGAAATGAGTGTGTTGTTGTTAATCATAAAAACAACAACTTCTGGCGTCAAATATCATCAATACATTATGTAAATTATTATTAAAGGTGGACTTAAATTGGTTTGTGTGGATTTCTGACCGGGCCAACTGGGTTTACGGGCGACGACCACAGAATCAGACAATTGACTTAAATGCAAGACTAGAAAACTCACACAAGCAGACAGTATTTTGAAAGTATTTACCTGTTGTCCAAACGCTGGTATAAAACTAGACTAAGACCGGGGGATAAGGAGCGACAGATGAAACAATCACACAATGGACACACACATGGGCAGGAATGAAAGAATCTACAATGAGACAAATATATACAAGACATCACAGGAAACTGCAAACAGAGAAAGCATTACCGGAGACGATAAGAGGACGTGACACGTTAAAGTGACCGTTAATAATTGTTTGAAAGTCAATCAAACCACTACAATTTAATACAAAATCCACTATAGAACTAGCAGACACAAAATGAAATGTAGATACAACAACCTCACATTTATAAAGCCATGGAAAGAGATGCACGATGCAACTTAGAGACAAAATCACAAAAGAGAGAAAGGAGAAAATAGACGCAACAAGTCCACAAAGAAATGCAAAATGATGAGAAAGAGGCATGACGCCACAAAGAAGTGCTAAATTACTTCATAAAGAGGCAAAACAACTACAAAGAGACCCAGAAAGACTCTAGATTGTTATACAGGGCGACTGCAAAGCGATAAAGACTCAAGAGAACTTTGCTCCGATAAAGAAGGGACTTTTATGTCTCTGTATCTCAGATTCTGTGCATGATGTGAAAAATTCAAATGTCTCTACATTCTCCTATGTTGACACAAGAGGGCAGCATTGTTGTTTTTTATGCAGATGTAACACAGACAACTCTCACACTATAAAAACTCAAAATCTTCAGAATATGACTTTACACTCGATATAAGACCTAATAACTGAAGAGGTAACAATGCAGTGAGAAATAGGCTCTTGTTTTTAGACAATGCATCTTCAAGACTCTTGAAAACATCTTATTTTGTTTCTCAAATGAAACAAGTGTTTTAAGCTGTTGTGGTTTTTGTAAAAGATCGTTCATCTTGTTTTAACAAATACATTTGACTTGATTTAAAAAAAAAAACTCATTCTTATTGGAAAATCAACAACTAACATCAGACAACTGAAAACCTTTGAGCATTTCAGGCTTATATTGTAACACAACATTTACTGATCCTGGTAAGATATAGTTCAAAATAAGTTTTACCAGCTAATCACAAGATCTCCTTTATCTAAAAATCCCGTCTTATTCCAATAAATCTAGCCAAGCAAATGTTCACTTGTTCTATTTGCAGATTGTTTTACTTATTACAAGTGAAAACAACTTGTTTTCAATATTATTTTACTTGATTTTGGAGCAGCATCTTTTACAGTGCAGAGAAGATTTGTTGGGCTTGATGCACAATTATCCAGTTTTTAAATAAGGTTATTGCTGTTTTTACTGCTGGTACTGGTAGTCTACATCCAGGGTGAGATACTGATTTGAGTCTACAGAGAGTGCATTAACCAGCCTTTACATACATCGGGTTAGTTTAGTTTAATGTTCAAACTGTTCTTCATATAAAATAGTTTGCATTCAGTAGCTATGTTTTATTTCTCTGTCTCTGGGCTGTAGTGGATTTGAAATAAATTCACTCTGAAGTTGAGCTGAAGATGCATGAAGTGACTGCTGTATGGGAGCTAATGTGGGCCTCATATAGTCATGCAAGAACCTCCCTCGTATGAAACAGCGTACAGAGTGCTGAGCTGTGACCTGACCTGAGGTTCTGATACGCACCACCGGCACAAACGTACAGAAACTACATGAGCCCCAGTCAGAGGGGAAGTGAAACTCAAATGTTCCCCTTTCCTAATCCAGATGTTCAATTATATACATAGTCACTAAGAACAAAAGGCCATCTCTGATGAGAGATGAATGTAAAACAGGATCTACAGTGTGACACTATGTGACTAGTACTGTGTTGCACATTTATTAACCAGGCAATACAATTAAATGCATAGATCAGGGGTGTCTTGTACATTTTTTATTGACCCTAAGCCAATTCTAAAAGTATAATGGAATATGGCCCACACCTGAAACTTCAGCTTGTCCTATATTATACTTCTTAAATATAGATGTTGACATATATTACACATTAGTATTCATGTGGTAATAAGCCCACTTTTCAAATACATTTAAGTTGAAAACATTTTCTAACAAATCTTACTTGATAAAAAAAGCCCAATAACTTATTTGCATAACAAGCTTGAAATATATACTTCATATTTCCCCTTATCTTAAGCAATCTGAGGCTTCTGTTTTAAGGGATGAGCTGCCAACACTTGTTATAACAAAATAAATGAAACCCTATGGAGAGCTGTGCGCTTTTTTTCTTAAATCATATTCAGGTAACAAGCATGATTTACCTACATTTGGTTGACTTTGCTAACTTATAACTTAATTTATGAGGCAAAATACCTCACCTCTAGTGAGTGGCCCAGCCCCTTGTATGTGTTTCTCTATGTGGCCCCCTCATTGAGTTAAAATCAACCAGTCTTGACAGACCTGTTAGATATTAGATGTCTCTCTGTTGCATGGCATGCTGTGTCTCTATTCAGTGGATTTGATAACAAGAAGGGACATCCTAGTGAATCAAACACTCAGTGGATATTGTGTTCAATGTAGATGGATTTGCCAGCGGGGGAACTGTTAAACTGTTCATGAGATACTTAAGAAAGAAGTGGAAACAAGGAGAGATGTTTGCAAAGAAAAGAACGTACCTAGAAGAGCATTACCCTCACATTTAAGAGTGACTCTGAATGACCAAATGATGTTCAAGAGATGTTAAACCGTAACTAAAACTCACCTCAACTGCATTTTGGTTTCACAAGGACAGGTGTCTGCTTGACGTGTGAAAGGTCATTTGCATGATTGTAATGCTTCACTGCTCCTCACAGTTTTAAGGTCTTGTGTCACGTAGAGTCTGAACCGTGTTCCTGCACTCATCCTGAAAACTGGAGATCATGTTGTCAGTAACTCTGCTTGTCATGTTGGGCTTTCTGTGTCAGGGTGAGAGACTTTGAAAATGTATCATCTGAAATGATAGGAGTAATGTATGTGTGGTACAATGTGTGTCTTTCCTTTTCATGTTTGCATCCAATGTGCTTTGTCTATAACTCTTTCTATTATAATTTAAACTGCTGCTCCATGTTGTTGGTTATTTAACATTTCACTTCTCATTTCAGAGTCTTCTGCCAACAATTTCCTGACTCAGACTGACACATCCAAGTCTGTTAGTCCTGGAGGGACTGTGACCATCAGCGCTACAGGGAGCTCAGATATTGGTGCTGATCTCAGTTGGTATCTTCAGAAACCTGGACAGGCTCCTAAACTTCTTATATACTCATCATCAACTAGGTTCTCTGGAACTGAGCCTAGATTCAGTGGTACTAGAACTGGTACTCAGTACACTTTAACCATCAGTAACGTTAAGGATGGTGATGCAGGAGATTACTATTGTCTGGGTAATCATGGTGGAGCATTCACACAGTGATTTAGAGCCGTACAAAAAGCTCCTTCAGTCTGAAGTAAAGCGTCCTGCTGCAGCTGCAGAGGGGAAGAGACTGAGAGGAGGGAAACTGGTCCAGTGAACACAAGAGTCATCAAGCAGAACCACCATGAATCCAAATAAAGCTGAAACACACTCACAGACACTCTTCAATACCCTGTTTAAACTATATTATTGTCATTCAATTCAGTCTCTTTATGAGTGAGCTGGGAAAATTAGATTCTTGTTGAACTATAGCCACTGATATCAACATATATTTAACAGTAACTTTATGAATGGCTGTACAAAACAATTAATTATATAACCGCAGTCCAAACATAAATAATTTGAAGTACTGTAAACACACAATGTTGTTGTTTACACTCCACTGTGTATTTTAATAGATTGAGTATTTAAAAAACTCAATCTATTAAAATGTGTTGACATAGTAAAGCTTAACACAGTACTGATTATGCACAACATTTTCCATAACAAAATGCCTACTAACATTCAAAAGCAGTTCCAAACCACAGTCAGGAAATACCCAGCTAGGCATCCTAACTGGTTGTGTAGCAAGCCCTGTAGAACAACCATCAAATCACACAGCTGATCCATAAACGGAGTTAGAACGTGCAATGGACTTCACCCAGACCTTTCAAGTATCACTTGTCATCAACAATTCAAAACTAAATTAAAAAAAAATTCTATTAGCAGATTACTCCAGCTAACAAATATTGGGTATTCCCGGAATCCATTTTTTTCATTTTATTATTATTATTTTTTTAACTAATACCTTCTCAGTTTGTTTATTTATTTAATATGGTCAACATTACTTTACATTTTTATTCATATCGTTATGGGGTTGAATTATTATTTCAGCCCTGGAAATTGTCTTGCAATATTTGTATTGGTGTATATGTGTGCATTTGTGTACTTATACACTTGAACATGTGTATATTTTGTGTATGTGTGAACATATGAATGTAAAAATAGTCACTTGAAAATAAGTGTTCATAATGTTTATCTGCATATATTATTATTATCATTATTCATTTGCCAAGTACAAGTGTACATATGTATATATTTATACATAGTATTTTCATTTAAAAAAATGGAAGTTGAAACTGCTATTGACATGTGCAGAAAATGACCCTATAGTTTTACTTATATATATATATGCATTTATTTTTTTCTTACCCTAACTTTTACTTATTTTTTTCTCCAGTTTTCTTTAGTTTTCTTTATTTCTTTGTACTCCTTCATTTCTATACGTTTTTGACGCAATAATGCCAATGTTATATTAGGATGATTCACAGGAGGGCTACTTCCCATAAGCTATGCTTCAGCCCTCCCGCTTCTACTAATTTTGTTTATCTTTGTGTGTATGAATTATAATTCTTTTTTTTGTATGAATTTAGTAGAATAAAATAATTACAAAAAATTAAAAAAACTGTCCCACAGTCATTATAAATGATATTAATATAATACAAGGTTTCATACTGAAGGTATTAATACATCTTTCTCACAATGAACATGAATGAAAGAAATACAAAGACACTGTCTCATTTTAATCAGCATTTTTATTTAATGATGGTTTAAAGCTCACGCCACATTTGAGATGAATGATGAGTTTCTGTTGGAGTGAAACAAATGAAATCCAGTTGAATTGTGAGCTGATGAACAAACAGGAGAATATGCAGGAAGTGAGGATTAGAGAGCAGCACTAACAACTGAACAGAGACAGCAGCAACATGTGAGCAGAGGAGATGTGTGTCTTCATGAAGATCTCTACCAAAGAAGCTGCTTCCTCTCCAGACAGGAAGTGATGCTCTACTCCGAGCAGCGGGCAGGGTCCAGGCTTTGAGTGACAGGGCTCTGTCCACTCAGACTGGCCTCACAGCTCACTGAGCCCGCCCCCCTCCAGCTCTCTGCAGAGAGGCTCAGGGTGCTGCTCCAGCTGTAGCGGCCGTCGCTCCCCAGGACCTCCGGGCTGTGGGACCCCCCTGAGGAGCTGCTGCTGCCCCCCAGCTTCCAGCCCAGCCTCCAGGCGGAGGGGAAGCCCCCGCTGGCCAGACACACCACGGTGGCACTGCCCTGCTGCAGCTCCTCTCTGGAGGGGGGGAGGACGCTCAGGGTGGGCTGCTGCACACCCACTGGAGCGGGGAGGGAGGGGGGGGAGGCAAAGGAAGACATTAGAGTGAAAACTGGATTATAAGGTCCTTTTTTGATGTTGTCATTTTGCTGCTGTCAAATCCTTGTGTCAGTACTTTACGATACCAGTCACCTCTGTGGAAACATTGGTATCACTGCCTTTTCTAATTTACATTTGAGTGTTGTACGTCTTTTAAAAATGGACCTTGAGTCTCTTCAATAAAGCTGATGATGATGATGATGATGAGGAAAGTAATAAACTTGTGTTTTCTTTTAAAAGAACATCCATAACATTCATCTGTTTGCAACTTACACATTATGTATCTAATATATTATATTCCAATTACTTGTATATAGACTCTCCTTGCACTATTGTATCTGTGTTATTGTGCTGCTCTGTGGGAGGAGCCTGTGACCTAAGATGTTCACTAACATATCTGCACTGTAGCTCTGTGGGAGGAGCCTGTGACCTAAGATGTTCACTCACATATCTGCACTGTAGCTCTGTGGGAGGAGCCTGTGACCTAAGATGTTCATTCACATATCTGCACTGTAGCTATGTACACATGACAATAAAAGCCTTGAATCCTTGAATCCTTATATTTCATCAAATAAAACAGAATAAGTTGTGCTGCTGTTACTCTCATAAATCACTCAGGATCAGACCCCCACATGATTCAAGTGTGAATGACTGACTTTGTGTAAAGTGAGCAAGCTAAAGATTCATTGATAATAATGATTGAATATCTTCATATGTGTGATGATGTTCTTTAAACTGACAGAGCTGAACGTCTCAAGTGAAAACAGTTCAAACATTTATCATCTGTCTCTTTCACTTCCTTTTCACTGCATGTCAAATCAATGAACCGTGAACACGACGACAAGCTGCATTCACTGATACAATCACACGTTTCAAATGAATCCATATTTAACTTGAATTCAACAAAATAGTTCATATTTTAATAGACAATAGATAAATAATGTAAATAAATACAATATTGTGAACTACAAATGTAAAACTGAATGTGGCGGAGACGTCACGCTTTAACAAATCTTAATAAATAAAAATATTGAATATAAAGTTGTTATGATAATAAAATATAATATAGAAAATATACAAGTTATTTGCTTTAAGAAATGTATTTGTAAGAAACTAACAATTAATATAGAAGTCTGCAAAGGTTCCTTTCAGATTACAAGAGGAGCTTAATACAAATATAAAAATGGAATCTAACATTTTTTTAAGTTGAGTCTCATTTAATAATTAATGAAAGTTATATATTTGCTATAAGTTGTATAAAATACAAATCTCTGGTACTTACAGTCAACGTTGAGTTTGGTTCCTCGACCAAAAGTGTACCACAGTGATACAAACTCATTAAGTGGCCGTACAAAAACCTCCTGCACTGTCAACAAGCATGTATCCACTGAGAAAGCTCCCTGATCTCACTGATAACAGAGACAAATATACAGGTTTCAAATTAACAAAGCTTTTCTAAAGATATGGATTACATATCTGGAAGAATTAATATGATTTATGTCATTTTTCATCACTTTTCTACACCTGGCAGAGAAACCATTACAGTCTTCTACACAACTAACTTTGTCAGTTTTATATTAGTTTCTACATGGTTAAATGAACATGAGGCTTTTAAATAATAGTTATTAACAAATGTATTTGAAACAGAACTGAAACATGTTATTTATCTACAGTGAATCTCTGTATGTATGTTAATGTCAGACAAACAGACATATCATACCAACCACAGTGGACACAAACTCAAATCCTCATCTCCACTCCTGATATAAATATGTTCTTCCATTCAGATGATAGACGGTGTAAATCCAGACAGCTTTCCTCCTGGTTTCGTGTCCCACGTTGCCTTCAGTGTGCTGAGAGCAGAGAAATCATTTCCATAGAGAGGAGGCTTTGCATGGTCAGCTGATCCTCCAGTGAGAAGGTTTATAGTCCTGTGAGTTCAACACTGCAGGACTCACATCTGTCAGTCAGCAGAAAGCACCATGACTCTCATCACCATCCTCATCTGGACGCTGGCCTGCTGCTGTTTCACAGGTTCATTCACTCAGCAACATTTCAAACATCATGTGCTGCCTTTCCTCTCCTTTCTTTCTGCTGAGAAATCAATGATCTGTTTTTGTGTGCAGGATGCAGCGGTCAGGTGACTGTGACTCAGCCTGCAGTCGAGACGTCTGCTCCAGGATCCACCGTCACTCTCTCCTGTAAAACCAGCACAGATGTTTACGCAGATGGCAATGGTCAATATATGTTCTGGTATCAACAGAAATCTGGACAGCCTCCAAAGCTCCTGATAAAACTAGTGAGCACACTTGAATCAGGAACAGAACCTCGGTTTAGTGGCAGTGGAAGCGGCTCTGACTTCTCTATGACCATCACTGGACTGAAGGCTGAAGATGCAGCAGTTTATTACTGTCAGAGTTTCCACGTCATAAACAGTGCTTTGCAGTTCACACAGTGATTTGTAGTCGTACAAAAACCTCCCTCAGTCAGACTGCAGAGACTCTGAGCTGTTACAGCAGGAACCACCTGCAGCTGCTGAAGAGGAAGAGACTGACACAGCCCACTGAACTCAGAGCTGACAGGAACCCACCCAGCACTATTCACTTCTTATTCTTAAATATACATATGTTAATGGATTAATGAGATTAAACCCAGTCCAAAACACATTATATGTAAAAGCAGCATTATACACAAACCTTATTGTGATCTCTGCTTCCCCGAATTAAAACAACAAACGCTCTTTATCTTTTCCCCACATGTCTCCACTCGGTGTGCTTCACAGCAGGAGCATCTCTGGCCTCTCTGGAGTTATTATTTCATCATTATTATAAAGATCCTGGTTAAAAATGACAAAGATCAATCTAATGAGGTCTTTAAAATGTTAAACGGTGGCTGATTAAAACCCTCTTATTCACATCAATCAATGAACTTATCCATTAGTTAACCTCAAATTCACATCTTAGTTAAAAACTTCAGGTTTTCTAACAACCAGTTTCATTGAAGTTTCCTGAAATGTTTTTTTGTTCCATTATTGAAACCAAAAACAGCAGGAACATCCAAGAGACGTTGAGTTTGAACATGATTTGACCCCTGACCCCCCCTGAGACCACCAGTGCAAAGCAGAGGCTTTAGGACTAGCAGACGTACATCACAATCAGAATCAAGTTTATTACCAGATACTTTGACACATACAAGGAATTAGCTTTGGTGTCTGGTGGTACGAACACAAACAATCTAAGAAAAGAAGTTGCCATAGTAGGTACAAAATATAAAGGAAAAAAAATAAGTATTTACACCAAATTTAAATGTAAAAGACCTTAAAAGCTAAAAAACTAAAACACTTACGACAATTAATATGTGACAATATATGGCAAACTAGTGAATTATATTTAAAGTGGAGGGCTGTGCAGACATGTGAGCAAACATGTGTAAAATGCAGTCAGAGTTGAGCATGAACATGGCTCACAGAATTAAGAAAGGAAAAAGAACAAGGTGTTGTTCACATGATGTGCAATAATGTAACTCTGTGTGACTGGCGAAGCCACACACAGTCTACTATTCGACATACTTATTAGTGTGAATGCTGTTCAACTATTGTTCTTCAAATCTTTATTCTTCCACATCTTATTATTGTGCTTTCTTCCTGTAGTTCCTGCCTGTGTACATGACACAAGCTGCTCACAACCAATTGCCCCTTGGGGGATTAATAAAGTTGTTGATTGATTGATTATTTCAACCAGATTTCACCGTCTAACTACTTCAGCATACTTTCAGCTACAGAGACCATTCACATATTAAAATGTTCAGCTCCTTCAGGACATGTGTGCTATGACTTTTCTTGTTTTTGACATTTATACTTTTTAAAATATACCGCTTTTTAAACTTTTATTTGTACAATGTAACCCAATGGGAGTATCCTTCAAATCCTCTTTTACCTACACCGTGTTTAAATGCTGCTCCTTCAGAATACTTTCAGCTACAGACTTCATTCCAACTTTGAAACGGTCACAAAACATTCAGCTATTACATTTGTATTCAGCTTTTTGATATCTTTTAGAGTTTCTCACTCATCAACGTTTAAGTGTTGGTAAATGTTCAGGCCGTTTTAGATTATATAATGGTTGTCTATGGGATGGACTCTTCAGGGCTAGAGTGCGTGACATCATCACTTAGAGTGTAGAGGGTGGTGCAGCTGCCTGGTTTGGCACCCCCACTATAACTTTGTCAAGGGTGGTCGTACTCCCACCAAAATCACACTGGTGTTTGCTGACCCCCTCTAGTTTGTGCACACTAAAGCATTTTACTCTGGGCTCAGAGTAAACTAAAGAGGGGCTTCCACATGTGGCAGACCAGGTGTTGGTGCTGCCGGATTTGGCACCCCCCCTATAACTTTGTCCAAGATAGTTGTACTGTCACCAAAATCACCCCCCGGTGTTGGTTCTTTCCATCTTATCTGAGAAGGTTTTCCATCTTCTGTCTAATGTTATGTTGGTGTCTCGTTTCGGTCATAACGCCATTTGCTGGTTTCAGAGTTATCTAACCGACCGTACTCAATGCGTCAGGTTGGGTAGTACTGTCTCTGACCCTGTCACCTTGGAGAAGGGAGTTCCACAGGGCTCTGTTTTGGGGCCCTTGCTCTTTTTATTATATGTAAACAATATTTGTAATCAGATGCAATTTTCTACCTATCATATGTATGCTGATGACACTATTGTATACTCATGTGCTCCTTCTCTGGATATGGCCGTATCCAATTTAAAATCTTTTATTTTATCACGCTGCAGCATGCGCTTCTTGATTCTAAACTGCTATTGAATGGTAAGAAAACCAAAGCACCATGCTGCTCTTGCATTAATAAGTAGTGCACCTTTCTTACTGTCCCAAATGTGCACAATATAGTGACTGCTTTTCGTCTTTTGTTTACTTAGTTGTGTTCTCTGTATTTTAAATGTCTGTGTTATGTGTAAGAACGTGTAACATTGCTGCCTTCTTGGCCAGGTCAGCATTGTAAATGAGATTTTGTCTCAATATTTTAATCTGGTTAAATAAAGGTTAAATAAATGTAAAACATTTTTTATAGAGACATGGAAAGAGATGCATGATGCAACTTAGAGACAAAATGACCAAAGAGAGAGAGGAGAAAATAGACGCAACAAGTCCACAAAGAAATGCAAAATGATGAGAAAGAGGCATGACGCCACAAAGAAGTGCTAAATTACTTCATAAAGAGGAAAACAACTACAAAGAGACACAGAAAGACTCTAGATTGTTATACAGGGCGACTGCAAAGCGATAAAGACTCACAAGAGAACTTTGCTCCGATAAAGAAGGGACTGTCACTATATCTCAGATTCTGTACATGATGTGAAAGATTCAAATGTCTTTACATACTCCTATTTCGACACAAGAGGGCAGCATTGTTGTTTTTTATGCAGATGTAACACAGACAACTCTTTGTTGGGCTTGATGCACAATTATCCAGTTTTTAAATAAGGTTATTGCTGTTTTTACTGCTGGTACTGGTAGTCTACATCCAGGGTGAGATACTGATTTGAGTCTACAGAGAGTGCATTAACCAGCCTTTACACACATAGGGTTAGTTTAGTTTAATGTTCAAACTGTTCTTCAGATAAAATAGTTTGCATTTAGTAGCTATGTTTTATTTCTCTGTCTCTGGGCTGTAGTGGATTTGAAATGAAAGTCACTCCCACCACCAAGAGCTGAAGATGCATGAAGTGACTGCTGTATGGGAGCTAATGTGGGCCTCATATAGTCATACAAGAACCTCCCTCGTATGAAACAGCGTACAGAGTGCTGAGCTGTGACCTGACCTGAGGTTCTGATACGCACCACCGGCACAAACGTACAGAAACTACATGAGCCCCAGTCAGAGGGGAAGTGAAACTCAAATGTTCCCCTTTCCTAATCCAGATGTTCAATTATATACATAGTCACTAAGAACAAAAGGCCATCTCTGATGAGAGATTAATGTAAAACAGGATCTACAGTGTGACACTATGTGACTAGTACTGTGTTGCACATTTATTAACCAGGCAATACATTAAAATGCATAGATCAGGGGTGTCTTGTATATTTTGTATTGACCCTCAGCGAAGTCTAAAAGTATAATGGAATATGGCCCACACCTGAAACTTCAGCTTGTCTTATATTATACTTCTTAAATATATATGTTGACATATATTACATAGTAGTATTCATGTATTAATAAGCCCACTTTTCAAATAAATTCAGTCAATTTAAGTTGAAAACATTTTCTAACAAATCTTAGTTGATGAAAAAAAAGCCCAATAACTTATCTGCATAACAAGCTTGAAATATATACTTCATATTTCCCCTTATCTTAAGCAATCTGAGGCTTCTGTTTTAAGGGATGAGCTGCCAACACTTGTTATAACAAAATTAATGAAACCCTATGGAGAGCTGTGCGCTTTTTTTCTTAAATCATATTCAGGTAACAAGCATGATTTACCTACATTTGATTGACTTTGCTAACTTATAACTTAATTTATGAGGCAAAAT